GGCGGGGTTACGTCACGCGCCGGGGGCGGGGCCGGGGACAAGCTTGTGAATGGAGGAAGGGGGCGGGGTTTAGGAGGTGGCTGGGTGGCGGGGATGGAGCTTGGGCTTCTTCGGGGGACACGAGGAGGGGAGCGCGGGGGGCTGGTCGCTGATGGCGCCGGGCCAGTGAAAGAGAGAAGACCCCGGGGGGCTGGGGAGGGATCCAGAAAGAGCTGGAAAAAGCCCAGCCCGCGGGGCGGGGCCTACAGCTTTTCAAACGTCTGCGTTTCCCTCCCCCCGCATTATGTAATGGGAGAGAATTGGCCTCTGGTTGAGGCTGGAATCTTCCACCTATTGAGGCGGCTGGCTGGAAGAGGAAGGACAGGGGGGCAGAAAACCCAGAGGCCCAAATTTTTCCCCCGGGGGGGGGGGGGGAGAAAAAACCCAGCTGGAACAGCACAAACATGCACAGATCGGTGGTTTATTATTATTCGTATTTATTGTAGGTCAGGGAGCAAAGCCCTAGCAGCTGCCCACCTCTGGGATTCACTGAGCAGAGAGCAGGGTGTCACTGGGTGTGTACATGACGCCTAATAAGTTATTAGGTCTCGTGTAGATGCACCCAGTGACATGCAGGTTATTAGTAATAACGCTGTATGGTAGCATGCGGGGCAGAAACTGCGCTCATACACTATCACACAGTAGTATTAAGCTACTGCGCAGTTAGATTCACAGCTTAGGACTGGAAGGGACCTCGTGAGCTCTTCGGGTCTAGCCCCCCTGCTCTGGGCAGGGAACACTGCTGGGGGCAAATAACCCCAGCAAAGTGCGTGTCCAGTCTCCTTTTATCCATCTCCAGGGGAGGTGCCTGCACCACCCCCACTGGGAGTCGTCACTAAAAAGGCTTACCACTATATCAGGAGCTCAGTGAACAACTGTTCACTAGGGCACCCCTGAGGAAGACCAGGACCAATGGATACAAACTCCTGGAAGGCTGCTTCTGGCTTAATACCAGGAAAAACTCCTTCACAATCCAGGTGTCGAGACTATGGAATAAACTCCCTCCAGAGGTGGTGCAGTCACTTACCCTGGAGGTTTTTAAGAGGAGACTAGACAGTCACCTCGCTGGGGTCACCTATCCCCAGTTGTCTTCCTGCCTAGAGCCGGGGGGCTGGACCCCATGATCTGCAAGATCCCTTCCAGCCCGACAGTCTATGAAACTATAAAGAGCCGTGCGCTGGCGCCACTGTGCACACAAGTTACTGCACACTGATTTAGTGCTTGGTTATCCAAGTACTAAACTTAATTATGGGGCATTAATGAACATGTAGATGCAACCGATGTCACCTACTGGTCCACCTTTTCTACCAATGGACCAGCTCTGAGCTGGGTGCTTGCTGCCCTTGCCTGGGAGGAATCCTGCACACAGCGATAGGGACATAATTTGGGGGTAGGAAGTTAAGCAGCAAATTGTATCCAGAGGAGCAGGCAGGATGGGAGGGAGTGGGAGCCATGAGGAAGACACAGCAGCAGTTTCACTTCTCTTCCAGCTATCGGTTCTTCTGC